TTGGACTGGGAGCATTGGCCATTCAACCTCCCAGGGGAACTAGAGCCAACTCTTGAACACTTCACCAAGCTACCCCACTTTTCGGTCCATATTCACTCTAACCTTGGACTTGCCAGTGGTTATCCCATCACTCAACACTTGGGTATGGCCTTCTTGGGCCAAACTGGCCTTTCTTGGCCAAATTAGCTCCACTAGAGTCCTCCCCGCTACTATACTTTTGGAGCTCACCAAAACCCCTAGGGTCTAGGAGACGAATGCTTTGGGCTTTCACCCTCGAACTCGAATTCGGACTCGAACTCAGACTCGGACTCAAACTTGGACTCGACCTCAGTCGCGGTCCTAGTCTCGGTCTCGGTTTCGGTCTTGGACTCCATCTCAGGTCCTTCTCGGACTCCATCTTGGATTCCATCTTGGGTCCATCTTGGACTCCATCTCGGACTCCATCTTGGTCCATCCTGGACTCCATCTCGGGTCCATCCCGGACTCCATCTCGATTCCATCTCAAACTCCATCTCGGTTCCATCTCGAACTCCATCTTGGACTCCATCTCGGACTCCATCTCAGGTCCATCTCGGACTCCATCTCAAATCCATCTTGAACTCCATCTCAGATCCATCTTAGACTCCATCTCAGACACTTCCACATGTCATGTGTTGTCCTCTTGTGTCCCTTTTCTAAAGATTCATTTATTGTTCTCTTCATGCTTATTCCTTGAGCACTTCGTTAGGAGTTCCACTCTTGCTCTCGACCTTTCAAGTCGAAACTTTTAGTCCAAACATGTTACGCTCGTTTGGTTTTTGCTTCGGCCACTACCACGTGGCACCCCTTCAGCTCCCTTTTGGGGATTAGGGATTTGTGTCTCACACTGCACTCAAACTATTGTACCACTACAATGCCGTCCCTTGGAAACATGTAAGAAACTCATGCAAATGTTGAACATCATCCTAATAATGATATATAGCAATCACTGTAAAGTGATCAAACCAATGATACACATCATCCCTAAAATTCCCACAAAAGAACTCCAGCCAAATACGAGGATTAACACAAAAAGTAGAAGGAACTATACCATGTGTTGTGAATGCCACTATCAACTAAGTTTGGTTGTTCAATTACAATCAGATAGCATCAAGCAATTGCACCAGCTACTACTCTAGAGTCAAAGGGGGAGGAGACTATTGCTCTACCATGAAGATAAATGAAAAAGAAGGAGCAAAAGAAAAGAAATAAAAAAAGCTAGAAAGAAAGGGAAATTTAAAAGCTAAATTCAAATCAAAATTTTCAAGAATAAAATAAAGGAAATGGAAAAAATTAGATCTAAACTATACAAAAGCTAGATTTAAACAAAAATCCTAAATTCAATAACTCTTCAGAGACAATCAATAGTGCCCTTCATCTTCACCACTAATTTATACATAGTAGCGAATGATTTAATCTGATAGCTACCAAAATCCCATTATGTTAATATTAATATATGACATTGTAGTCATACATCACACAATTTGATTATTTCTTTTTCTAATAGCATACCTCTAACATTAGTAGAAACGCTAATGCTGGCAAAAGCACCACCATTTAAGCATGTGCAAAGATGTCATGATAATTATCAATCGCCAAATTTGTTCTGTCAATGGTTAAAGCTCTAGGACAGCTTCTTTTGAAATGAATCGTGAATTATGCTCTTGAGCCGGCAGAAGAGCAAGACAGTGGACTATAAATGTACTGCTGGTTACTGCTGGTTCAACGGGTTTTGAAATGATAGTATATTCTATGAAAATTTAATTAGAGCAAAAGGAAGAACCAAATCGTCAAAGCATTTGGTAGAGCGCTTGAAGCTTCTCTATCTCGATCAATCTCGCGGCACTATCGCCTTTCCAATTCTCCACCACCATCTCGTAAACTCGCCGCTGCTGCCGAGGATTGTCAATCGCCTGGCGAACATCGACTTCGCCGCAGAGCTTGAGCCTCTTGGACGCCGGCGTCAAGCTCTCCACCACGTCGCCCAAGCTCGGCTCCCTCGACACATACTCCATCCTCACCTCCACAAGCTTCTTCATCGCCCTCTTCACGCCATCCCCAAGGTTCACGGCCTCTTTCACGAGCTCCTCCTCCCTCTCCAGCATCCTCCTCAACAGATTCGCCCTCTTGCTCACGCACTCCACCATCGCTCCCAGCAACTCCTCGTCCTCCAGCCATAGCAAGAGCTCGAAAAACTTCTTCTGCTTCTTCCAAGTCTTGTACACCTTCTCCTCACTGTCAACGTCGTCATAAAATCGATCCTTCTGTCTGCTGCTGGAGGTGGCACCGTGGTATTCAATCCAGGAACTCATCTCCGCTATATCAGCCGTGGCCACCACCTCATCCTTGCAAAGCTTGACCAACACCTTCTTGGCCGCCTCGTTGTTCTTCAAGCCAACCAAGCCCGCAGCCTTTTGAATCATGTTGATCGCAGCACAACGATGGTACTCGCCCAGAATGTAGTCGCCCAGAATGACCTCGGGCTTTAGCAGCAGTGCAACCACAATCCAGTGCTCTTGTAGACTGGTCCTTCCCGGATCCGTTAACTTCTGTGTAGCACAGTCGCAAGGAAAAGGCCTGGCAGCAAAACGCAGCGCTTCATCGTGGTGTCCCAGCGATTCTAGCTCCAGCATAAACTCCACCATGTCGCCCACGTACGCCTCACATAGCCCTTTCGATCCGGAATAGACATAATCATAGTAAGAGGAACGGTTTTCCTTCTCCGCTTTCGCTTTCGCTTCCGCCATCTTCTTCCTTTCGTCCCAGGCTCCCTCCACTTCACTGGTGCGGCTCGGGAAATAATGCATCACTTTGGCCAGCGTTCCGCCGCGCAGCCTCGGGAGAGTTAGCTTGGCGAGGATCTGCGAGGCCTCCTCCTGGAGCCCAGATTCGAGGCAAAAATCAACCAAGAGCATGATCCCATCATCTTCTCTTTTCCGTTTGTAACTGTCCTGGAACTCGGCCGGGAGCTCGGTGGAGATCGCGATGAGCTTGGCACACAACAGCTTTGCAGCTCCAATGGCCCCGTCCTGATACCCGACCTGGTCCCGCAGCCGCGAAGGAAAGCCTCCCAGCTTCATCACAGCGGCATGCCACGCAGGAGCTTCACCACCTTTGTCTTGCCTTAGAAAGGATACTTGTTTCCTAGGTGGAGTCTTCTCCACGCGCTCGATGACTCCAGCAATGATCTCCTTGCAAGCCTCCCAGCCGTAAGCTTGCACGGCAATGGCGAATTCCTTGGTGTCTATCAGCTCCACACCCCAGCTCCTCATGATCGACAGCACCTCGTCGCTAAGCCCAGACTTGACGCAAACTTCGAGCAGCTTTGCCGGATCTTGGAAGAGCTCTTGTTTCTCCTCAAAGCTGTAATAGTCCCTTTCGAGAAGTGAAGCCAGCGAATCAAACCGGTGTGTCAAAGACGTGACAATCTCCTGCAAGTGTCCCCTCGACGGTGATCCAGGAGCTGCAAAGTCACTGCCATAAGTTTCTCTCATCCAGTCCAGCACCCACGCTACGTCCTCCAACGACGAGCAGATCGTTCTCATGAAGCTGTCCTTGGGCCAAACCACGAGCACTGCTACGTGATAGAAGTACTGATCAGTTCCACCTTCGTTGCCAGCCAGCATCCCTCCTTGGAACTCGTCCTCGAGGAAATCAAACAAGTCAATCTCGCTAATTGCGTCAGCGTCCTCGTCGTCATAATCGTAATCTGTCTTTGCTGTCTTTGCCGAGGCCCTGAGAACTTCTTGCTTGACGTCTATGTTCCACTTCTTAAACTTTGCTGGCTGGTCGTCCACCGTGATCCAATTGTCAATCACGTACTCAACCTCGGGCTCGTCCACCGCAATCTTATGCTTGGTGAGCATGCAGAGATGGAGCTCTAGAAACTCGCAAGCTCTCACGAGAGCGGCCACCACGCGGTCGTGACCCTTGAGCCCCGCGAAAGACAGGCTCGTCTTTGAGTACTTGTGAGCCAAAGGAACCGCCAGTAGCTTACGACCCTTCCTGTCTCTCTTGCTGACGTCTTGAACATCTTCTTTATCATCATTGCTATGGTCTTCATCATCATCATCTTTCATATCATCGTCCTGGTTATCATCATCTATATCATCACCTTCTGCTTGATCATCACCAGTGCCAGCAGCCCATTGCTGGAAGAGAGCTCTCACTCGGGGAAGAGCCGAGACGAACGACGGGACGTTCTCCGCGGGTATAAACTCCACGTTGTTCCTCACCAGGCTAAAAACCAGGCACAACCTCGACCCGCTCGTCACCTCCTTGAGCTGGTGCTCGCAGTCGCAAAAGAAGATCGTCGAGAAGTAGTGGCTGGAGCTCCCGTCCGAGAAATCAAACTCGCAGCACTGCCGTCCCTGGCGGACCGCGAGAGCCGCGCCGCTGTGTCCCGTGCTCGTCGGAAGTTGCAAGATCATGGTGGCAAACATGCCATCTTCCTTCTCCGTGTCCCTGTGGAACTTGAAGTGGCCGCCAGCCTCGTAGAGCAGCAGCTTGTAGAGCTTGACGTCGAGCTCCAGAGCAGTGGAATCCAGCCCCATGGCGGCGAGTCCATGAGCGGCCAAGTCGCGGGCCACCGACGAGAAGAAGTTTGGAACATCGGGGCAAGAGACCTTGTCGGGATTGATCTGCCAAGCTCGCCTCACATCCGTGTCGACGAGAGTTCTCTCCCCAAGGCCGTATGGAGCTTGCTGGGACACGGACTTTATCTTGGCGAGACCTAGCGGCGAAAGTGGAAGACTGATCCTCTCGGCACCCTCCACATGCAGCGATGCTGGCATCCGAAACTTTGCTACGTCAATCTCACCTCCGGTGGCGAAGATCTCGCGGTCGCACCACAGCGCCTTGTTGAGCTGCTCCACAGCCATCCTCTTTCCCATGCCAAAAACCCTAGCAAAGAGGTTGCGAAAATTACGTTTGTGAAAAAATTTCATATGATGTAATCATTGAAGTCTTATTAATATTTCACAATGCCGGATGAGCCTGGAAAAAAGAAAGAAGCGATGGTGGCTTCTCGTTCACAGAGTATGGAGTTCGCTCACCAGAAGACAGTGTTTTATGAGATGTATGTCACTAGGGAGACTGTCCATTAGTTCCAACGCATCATTCTCGGGCCAGGTACTTAGATCGAAGTGGCTAACCTTAAAATTAGGTCAACCAGGGGTTTAGGGCTCCATGGCACATGGACCAGCTTCTAGAAGGGGGCCGTGGGGCACGTGGGCTAGTACCATAAAACTCAGGACCTCGGGGATGAGTAACCATAAGCTAGTTTTGACGTACTCGTACGACACTGGCAGTGGCCCATCGCGATAGGGCCCAATGGTACTATAAATTTCCCACGAACAGAGTGTGATCTTGTTCTTGCAAGACTCTTTGGATTACTAGTTCTTAGATCTCTCATGGCTGATTTCCAATCTCTCCCCGACGATCTCATCGTCGACAGCATTCTGTCCAAGATCAGGGACGCCAAGGCGCTGCTGCGCTGCTCGGCCGTGGCGCGGGACTGGCGGCGCTGGACGGCGCGCGTCCCGGCTCTGCATTTCGACTTCCCCAAGTCGTGGAAGCAGGATTGCGTGGTGAGGTCGCTCGACGCCGAGAAGATCGTCTGGGCGGCCATCTCCAGGGTCCAGGGCGGCGGCATCGGCGAGCTATCGCTGCGATTCTCGCCCACGGAGCCATCGCTCGTCTGCTTGTGCGAGAATGCCGTCCAGCTGTGGATCCAGCACGTTAGCGCCAGCGTCCGCGAGCTCAAGCTCAGCAACAAGGGCTGTGCCTTCTCGGAGCTCCTCCCCTCTCTCTCCAGATGCGCCAGGCTCTCCTCCCTCTCGCTCGAGTTTGGGTACTTCGATGGAATCCCCCAGGGCTGCCGCTTCCCGGAGCTCAAGAAATGCCGCTTCGCCAATGTGATCTTCCACGGCGACGATCTGGAGAGATTCGTGGCGTGCTGCCCGGCGCTGGAGGAGCTGACGATCGACGAGTGCTTCTCCACGCAGATCCCAGTCGTGACGCTGCGCAGCGGATCCATCCGCGCGCTCGTCATCGCCGAGACGCGATTCAATCGCCTGGCGGTGGAGGCCGAGAAGCTGGGAGAGCTGACCATCGCTCCAAAGAGCTTTCCAGTGGATTTGCTGCCAGGGAAAAGCGAATATCCATCCAATTGACCTTTTCGAAACTAGCTTAGGGTTTTAGATCCACCGGTATGCCGCAAAATATGCGTATCATTGAGAGCCACATTCTGAGCAAAAGCTTGAGCGATTTGTGTGTTTATTTCTCTTCTTGACTGTTTGATCACTAAGAATTCTTAGAACCTTCGGTTGGCCTGGACGAAAAATAACAAAGGACATGTGAAAGCATGTAAGCTTTAACACTGATGTTCTCTCACGATTTTCTTGTGCCTGCACGGTGTGGTCTCGATGCGCAAGTAGTTATTGACGCATGCAATTTTTTTTTCTTTTGTTTTTCGGGGAGGCTCAAACAAAACTTACAAACAATATCCGTAGTTTCTTTGTCTTTTTAAAGTTTTCTCGATCTTAGTGTTGCTTGTCTCACGGTTTGGCTTAGTCTAAAGGTCGTGCATCCGATGAAAGCGCAAAAGGTCATCGAGAGAAGTGTCAAGGAAGAAACTCTTCGAGAAAACCGGCATTACGTACAGACCAAGTTTACTGCCGGGAAACTACACAACACGGGGTAACTTTCGTGTGAATTCTAGTCTCTACAGTGTCGCTCTCAGCAGTGCCGTTGCGATGAAGCACCTTCCCGGTGTCCTGATGAGCGTTGCAAAACGGATTGATGGAAGTGGTGTTTTCATGGTACCGCGCCATCAAAGTTTTCCTCCACGGAAGCTTGCGATACTTTGCTCGCCATGCGCCTGGCATGAGAGCTGTATATGTACCAGAAGATTGTGGAGCGATGGCCAAGCGTCATGGAGCATTTCGGGTAGATTCGTCACACCGCCAGCGTGATGGCCTTCAAGTTCCATGTCAACTTCGGATGGATCATCTGTGTAAGTGGTGCTTTTCTTCCTCTTGTTTGTTTTAGTTTTCTTTCTCCGGTTTCCTGTTTCTGGTTTCGTAAAGCAGTGCCTTACATGTCTTTCTAGAGTTTGTCTCTCTCAGGAGCAGAGTACGCACTGAGCACGCCAGTTTCTCCGTGGTACATTAAAAGCAGAGCATCCGGCAGGGCATTGCGATCGAGCTCTCTGCGCGGCAGCAGAAGAGAATGATGCTCTCGTTGTCCAGTTTCGCCAGGACGTGCTCGCTTCTCCCGAGAGCAAACGCAAGAGCTTCTCGCCACCGCCATCCTTCGGTGCTTTGCTTCAGAGAAGACGACACTTCGCCAGAGTTTTTCCCTGCTGTGATCCGAGAGCTGCCGAGCGCAGTTCTGGAGTTCACTCCAGGTGGGCGATTCCGGCGCTTCCAGCAGCCGGGGGAGATTTGCAGCACCAGTAGCAACGATTGGGGATCCGGCAACAACAACAATGACGATGGAAGCAACCGAAGGGGCTGGCGTGGTCACGGAGACAACAACAACAGTGGAGAGAAGCACTCGTCCCTCGTCGCTGCGAGAGTGCTGCTTGCATTCTCGGCTTTCCATCTGGGATACTGTATCGCGGCATGGATGAGGAAAGATGGTGACAAGCTGGGGATCGAATTCTATGGAGTTGGACTCGGCCTCGTTTGCTTCCTCGCCACCGCCGCCGTGTTCGTGAGCTTGTAAGTTTCTTTGCTGTTTGTTTTTGGTCTCCATTCTTATATAGTTTCGTGAGCTTTGGCTTTCAGAGGAGCTGTGAGCAGTGAGAAACTTGTGGCGATTTGGACTTGCTTGGCGGCGATGATAGCAACAGGCAAGTGTGTTTTCTTCTTTTTGAACATTGCGAAAGCTTTGCGGTAGAATAAACAATTTTTTTTTTTCGGGTGACAGCCGAGAAATGCTTCTTCCGGAAGCACAGGAGATTGTCTGGCTTCGTGCTCTTGTTTGGAATCTCGACAGTGGCAACTCTCTGCGTGTAATTTTACGGTTGACTAGTTTGACTTGTAATCTTTCGCCACGCAAGCTTTAAGTCAACTATCGGCGGCCAGCGCGCCACGTCACGGCCTCTTTGTACGGAAGTTTTTCTCTTCATGCTATGATCTGTTCTTATGAATGATTACATGCCTGAGCGGACCTCACTCGCATTTGCCCGTACTGAAGCATTTGCTCCAGGAAATTTCTGTTTCATACACGAATTTTCTCCAGGGAAATGCGTGCTCGCAATGCTGGATTCACAGGACTCCTAAAAGACGCCCGGTCCACTCGAGAACAGGACGAGCTCTTATGTTTGATGTTGTCTTTTAATTTGTCGGTCGTTTTTGAGGCCAAAGAAAAAGGAATAAAAATGAAAGGAGGACTTTCTATAAGTTTTGGTTTTGTTTGCAAGGAAGTGAGGTGGCAATGGCGAGCTATAAATCGAAATCGACATCTCTGCTTGTTTTCCATGGTAAAGCTTTTCAGCTGAAGTACTTTATCAACTAACTTGTAAGATTTATCCAACGGATAGATGTAATGGCGGCGCTACGTTCTCCATCCCTTTTTCCACTTTCTTGGCGACCAACATGCCTTGATCGGCCTTCTGGCGACGCTGCCATTCCAGATCCCTCGTTGTCCCAGATCGAGCTCGAGTTCCAGCGTGAGTTTTTCACCCGGCTGAGCGCCATGGCTGTGCTTCGAGAAGCCCGAGAACAGCGTGCCTTTACTGACTTTGTCATGGAGACCCTGAACCAGTTGATAGAGAAATAGCTACCGCGTGGCCGGAGACGAAGAACTTCCAGCTCCTTCAAGGCAGTGTCTACGAGGCTTTTTGGCTCAGCTCTAGCGGTTGATCCCTCCGGAGCATGGATTGCTTCTGCTTGAAATCATAGTCGTTGTGTACGTACTGGTGTGCGGCTGCCTCTGGATTAAACTCGGGGGTCTCGATAAACTGTAGCAAAGCGTTTGTGAGAACGGCAAGTAGTGTAGCGTGAGTGACTTACGTGAAGAAAGAGTGCGAGAATGCGATGCCGGAGACCAACAAGCGACTTAGCTGGCCGGTTCCTATACATAAGGTCCGCCTCTCTCTCTATCAGTAGCAAGATCTCCTTCGTGAGAGGATTCGTAAACTCTTGTACAGTCCACTTGACGTATCCAAGGACAGCCATTCTCTCGTCGATGTTAGTGACCTCCTTTCCTAGAGCTGTGTAAAGCTGTGCACAAGAAAGTCATTCCAATGAGAAAGAAAAAGAAAGAAATCAGCAGAGGTTGATACTTTACATGCATCAAGTCCGACGCACGAGCTGTAGCAGGAGTCCGAACTTGCACCGTCTTGCCATTAGTGAGTTCCCAGACTTTGGGAGCACACATCTTTAGCATGGTTCTTTTGATCCGATCCTTTCGATTTGCCTTCGCGGCAGTAGCTCTCAGCTTATCAATTGCAGTCAAGAGCTTCAATTCCTGCAAGAATCACACGATAGACATCAAATCTATATTTTTTCTCTCTTCTGTGACTAACCTTAGTTAAGAGCTCCCGGAGTGCGTTCACCCGTTCATTGTAGCCATAATTGCATGCATTAAGCTTCTCCATTTCCTGCAAAACACGAGAAAACGTGTGAGTAAATTAAAAAGAAAAAAAATTCACTAAAAAGCCTTACCTGGACTCTCCATGCCTCGAGCTCCTCATAGAGGATGGCAAAGTCTGCACTAGTCCGTGGACACATTCTTCTCTCAATTTCACGCTGCAAAGCGTCTTCTTCTTGGACCTTCTGAGTCTTCTCTTGGTCTTCGAAAAACTGGAGAGAGCAACGTCAGCTCTTATCAAGTTCCGAATGAAGCCTTGGCCCTGAAAGCAAACCTCAAGCCTGGACTTGACAAACCCTCGTATCCTGTCAGCGTTTCGTTGGGCGATCCACCTCCGAGTGTACTTTTGAATAACGATGGAAGCCCGACGACGAATCTGTTCCCATTCAATAGAATCAACATATCTTCCCGGAACACGAGCATAGTCTCTGCTCCAGTCCAGAATAAGGTCCCTGCGATCCATCTGAGTGAAGGTCTCCCGGATAGTGTTCCAGTTTTGGTTCCTCATCAAGCACTTCTGAGTGGTTCGGCTAAACATTTGGATGTTCTTCTTGGGCTTTGGCTTTCTGTCCGTCTGCATTCCAGCATGGAGGTACTTGGTGCCTGAAGATGTTTTTCATGTTAGCCCATCACACTATAATCACAACGCAAAACCATATGGATAGCATGCACGGTCACAACACAAAACTATATGGATAGCAAAAGGCATTACACTCAAAACGATACTAAGAACACAAACTTTTACCAGAGTTTCTGAAGCTCAGGATGAAGACTCTAAACTATGTGAATGGAAGAGCAAGCTTCACTAAAGATGGATCACGAATGAGCTATAGGTTGGTTCTAGAATACACGCACAAGATAGCAACAAAGAAAAACTAAAAACGTACCATTTCTCTTGTCCAAAAATCCTCCTCGATACGGCAACGGCCTCATCTGCTGCAAATCCACCATGACCGGCCTCAGCGAAGAATCATCGTCTCGATTCTCCTGGCTCTTCACCTCCACAAGAATCTCCTTCTGCGACGGCGTCCCATCCTTGGATTTCCCCGACGTGGACGCCGAATTCACGGATTCCAGCGCCTCCACGGGCGCCATGACGAGCTCCACTACCGGCTTGAGCGTTGACGATGCAACCCCAAGCGCGCCGCTGGATTCAGGCCCTTCGCCTTCGTTGTCCGAGACCTCCATGTCGGTGAGATCCACCTCCATCGCTGCCGCCACTGCCGCTGCCGCGGAAAGATTTCCCTAATGCCCTGCTGCGCCATCGCTCCATGGCTCTTGGGATGAGATGGAGGTAAATTGCGGTTCACTGGAGATCCACCGCCAAGATTTTCTAACACTTGGCTTGGCGCCAAGAGCAACGGCCACGATGAGCCCAAAACAATCAACGGTAGCAATGGATCTGACAAAATCCAATTAACGGCAGCGATGGATCTAACAAAATCTATAGAGAAACTTTTAGAAAGTAGCTTTTGATGAACTCCAGGAACCAAAAAAGAGAGAAGGATCGACCCATATGATCGAAGAGCTCTTTCGTTCGATGTTTCTTCTCTATCGGTAGCGCCGGAGGGAGAGAGTGTTGTTGCGCTTCCAGGTAGCACGGATCGATGGGCGGTTCTTGTGATTCCTGTGACCCTTCCCTCGCAATCCGCGGTGCTTGCGACCGGCGGACGTGATCCCGCGCAGCTCGCGATGCTTGTGAACCGGCTGGCAGATCCAGTTGATCCTTGGGTCCTTGCGAATCGCGGTGTGCATTGGGTCGATGAGGATGATCTCAAAGTACTTGTAAGTTGAGTCCTGGAATCCAAAGTTCTCCACAGTATTAGAGCTGCAAGAATCGGAAGAGTCTAGCAGTACCTGGTTGATCCAGTAGGAGTTGAGGACGCGGAGATTGCCCAGCTTGCGCCCAGCACGTTCCTCGGCCACGGATCTCAAGTTTCTCTGGAACTTGAGCTGGGTGATACCCTGGTTCTTGGGCTTTCCATAGACAATTCCCTTGGAAACTGGCCTCTTTCGGCCCCCGCGACGCACACGGACACGGTAGACAACGTATCCCTGTGAGGATTCGAGCACGAAACGATCAAAGAGCTAGCACACACGAAGAAAGGAGAAATTTTACCTGCTTGGCCTTGAATCCCAGGCGACGAGCCTTGTCAGGGCGCGTCGGGCGCTGGATACGGACGATTCCGGGGAGCTGGCGATACTCCCAGCAGCGGACGCGCATCAGGAAGCGCATCACATCGGATTGCTTCTTCCGCCATAGCTCCTCGATGTATTTGTAGGCACCTGGAGAGAGAGGAAGGAATGCGATCAGCCGCGAGAGAAATGCGAGCGCCTGAGCTGATCGAGCAACGCTTACCCATCGGCGCGAAGGCGCAGCTCCTCTTCCAAACCAGCCGACGGCTAAAGCCCTAACCCTATGAAACGAATATCCTTCTCAATGCTAAAAGGTTTGGACGGCAGGGATGGGCTCTGGGCAACGGACGGTTGGGATTGCGCGAGATTAGAAATGGTTCACATTTCCAACTGTCTGGTTCTCTTGAATCAGCGGATCCAGCCGGATCCGTTGAGGACTAGGGACTAGGGCAGGAATTCTGGAAGAAATCTTTGCTCCTCCCTTGTGCGATCGCGTGATCGCGCTCATTCTCCGGGTCTAGCTGCATCGATCGACATCTAGGGTTTAGTGGAATCGCGCGCTCTCGGGGGATCGACAGAGAGATTCTACGCGCTTCCAGGATGAGTGCTGATCCAGCATTGGCGGCCGAGGTGGCCAAGGGCCCGGAGTTGAGCCAGGATCCGCGAGCCAGCCGCGGGGGTTCGCTGTGGAAGCAGCGGGCCACAATATCGCTGAGGCGAGCCTCGCTTTGGAGGGAGGAAGCTAGCAGGGGCAAGGATGAAGAGGAGATCGTCGACAAGCCTCCTCCAGTAGCAGTGACTCCAGCTAAAAGACCTGTAAGTGACTATAGAGTTTTAGCTGTTCTTGGTCACAATCTCTTTTTTTTTCTTTGCAGCTCATGGAGGCTGAGGATGAGCCCGATTACTTTCAGCAGCTGGAAGAAGCTGTGAAGAAGAGAAAATTGGTATGTTTTTCGTTGGAGTCTATGTCATTCACTTCTTATTGTCCATTCTAGATGGGGATGAGAATGTCGGATTTGCCTCCACTTTTGAGCCCAGAATCTTTGTTTACGAAATCTATACCTGCTGGAATCAACCAAAGGGTTTACTGTCGAGCACCTTCCAATCGAATCGGAGTTTACTTCAGGCAAGACCATCTATACTTGTTCGTAGAACTGTAGCTCATATATGATCTTGCAGTCCGGAAACCATGGAGATGAGTGAAATGCGTGCTTCCGAGAAGATCATGGAGAGCAGGCAATTGACTTCAACTTCTTACGAGAAGCCAGTATTTCCTACTGTGAAGAGGCCTGCTTGGAAGAACTCGGACACGAGGCCAGCGCATTATAACAGGTGCTATGATCCAGCGCTGGACTCTCCTTACTTTGAGTACACGCTGCCTTCGTATCCACCAGTGCCAAGTCCTCCACGGAGACGAAAGTCCAAAGGTCTAGTTGGCTCTCCGGTTTTCACTCCTTACTTAACAGAAGACGAAGAAGAAGAAGAATCCAGGATATCTTCTCTCAAGAGGAATACTCCAGCTCTTAAGCCCATTGGTTTGATCAATCTTGGGCAGCTCAACCCGAGGGTGGTGGAGAGTCCTCGAAGTATGCATACTTTGGCCGTCAGTGCTCCTCCGATTCCGCCAAACATGATGAAAGTGGCTGAAGATATCTTGAGGTACCAGTTCTACGTTGAGAGTGGCGTGGACGAGCGTTTTATCGCTCCGATAAGAGAGAGGTGGACAAAACGCGCGGTTGATATGGTGGGGAAGTACGTCAAGAGGGGGCTCTCAGAACGGGTTATTCAAGCTACTTTGCGGCGGGTTCTTGAAGAGGTTCAGCATGAGTACCTCTTGAGCATGCGGAAAGCCATTGTGGATTACGTATTACAGGTTCGTTTTCTTTGCTTTTCGTATAGATATTCCAAACCTTACAACTTTGTTTACAGTGGAACACTAACTCACCTGTGAAACGTTTTTGCACTCGTGATTTACGTTTCAAGTCCACGTCTTGCAGGACGAGAAGGAGAGAATACGACTGGGACTTACTGAGATCGAGCAGATTCTCGAAGTGGTCACGACCGGGTTTATTGGGAAGACGCGGACTATACAGATTTTGTCAGCAGAATGGAGGGAGGCTGTCTTAAGCGCACACGGCGGGGTCTCTGGAACCTTGCACAAACTCAATCCACAGGCTTTGGAGCTAGCATTTCTCTGGCAGGATTTATATGCAGCAAAGTTTCTCATCGACACAACAACACCTGAGTTCTTTGCTGGAGCACCTTATGAGCTAGACGACTTTATCGAACGGGGTAAGCAGTGTGCTGGAGCCGTGAGGGAGTCGCTAGACACCGAGTGGTTATCTACGGCTTCGTCCGTGTTGGAGCAGGCAGTTCCTATTCCTCCCAACACTGATCTCATCGGCTTTTACGAAGCCATGGCAGTTCTTATGTCGAATCAAATCAGAAGGCTGGTGGAGGATTCTGTTGTCAACTTTGTTCGTTTCATCGACGTTTATAAGGGGGAAATCTACGAGATTCCACGCGAGAGTATTATGACTGTTCATCATAAACTGACTCCGCGACTGCAGAGATTCAAGGAGCTGTTCCGGGCTCAGTATGGGAAAGACATGCCTTCCGAGGCGACACTCAAAGCTACTCCTCCGTTTTACACGACTCTAAAGTTTGAGAAAAATGTCTACAGGTATGTTACTCTCAGCATGAGCTCAAAACTTTTGGCTTTAATCTACTATATGGCAGAGTCGAGCCGTCTTACGACGCGCTAGAACTCGGCCTTGTGGAAGTACTAGAATACGCAGTGGCTCAAAGCGCTGGTGTTCATCGTGTCGATGCTGAAGATTTAGAGCCATCACGACGCTTATTGTCGAGCATGGCTGTGGATGACGAGCTTGTTGGAGTTGCCAAAGGCCACATAAGGCAGGTGCTTTCTCATTTCCTTGCTCTAATATATGAATTGTTTATAAAGCCCAAGTTTTTCTCAAGTTCTGATATGCTTGCAGGTAGTGCAATCAAATGTTAACTATCCTAAAGAGCTTATGGACAAGTATGTGCCTTTTGAAGCTCTTGCAAACATGTCAGCACAAGCATTTGCCCAAGAATTTAAGGCCCAAGAAAAACCGATTCAAGAGTATGAAGAGGTTCTTAAACAGTTCAGCGAGAAGGAAATTCAGATTGAGGCTACAAGCGCAAACGTAGTGGACTGTGGCATTGTGCGGGTGAAGTGCAAGGAGTACAAAGATATCTTGATAAAGAAGGCGAGATATATTGCACTACTGTTAAAAGAGCAGGTATGGCTTTTGTGATTTTATACAATCACTCAAGATGCAATGTAGGTACTCGCATTTATGCATGCTGCTAATACAAATGTGCTCGAACGCATGGAGCACATTGCCAGAGAGATCATAAAAATTCCCACAAATTCCGAAGAAGCTGTCTACTTGCGAAAGTAAGATAATTTTAGTTTTGACGATGTTTCTAGCTCATTTTTGCAACCAGGTTTCTTGCTGCGTCTCCCACCGAGCTTTCAGTTTTAGAGAGAATCCTAGGAGAGAACAGGCAACGAGAAGACTTTCTAGACCGCTACCAGCTAAATATTCCTGAAACCGAATTTCGGACGATGTTGATCGCATATGAATGGCCGAAAAGAGTTCGGGCTGTGATCGACGTGCATACTAAAAGAATTACTGAAGAGTACGAGCACTACGAAACACAACTTAAGCAGCGCCGTATCGACTTTTTTGCATTGTTGGAAAGGTTCGTATCAACGCTTGTTTTTCTTTTGACTATGTAAACTTTAACACTCGTGCTGCAGTCTTGATGTGCGAGTAAAAAGCTATATCACAATTGCCGACCTCGATAAGATTGAAGCTATCTCCGATGATGTTACCGTATGCTAGTTGTCTGCTTTGTATCTGGCATTCTTAGTATGACTATTTTCCCTGTAGAACCTGAACAATGGATTACAAGCAGCTCTGGAGACCTCCGAGGCTTTAAATGCCGAGGAAACCCTTTTTGGCGTACCACCAACGAAGTTCACGCAGATACAACAGATGATTACCGCCCTGGATCCGTTTTTCAAGTTGTGGACTGTCGGAGCCAATTTTAAAAGACTTGAAGAGGAATGGATGAGCGCACCATTCTTCTCGCTGGATACTGAGAAAATTGAGGGAGAGGTGGGGCATCATTTAAACAAAAAATGCACCTTTCTGACCTTTGGTTCCTTTCCAGGTTTCGACAATGTTTCGAGTAATTTTCAAGCTTGTAAAGCAATTTGGTGAAGACTATCCGGAACCGGGAAGGGTTGCCAGTGCTGTCAAAGCACAGATGGAGAAGTTCAAAGAAACGTTTCCTCTTCTTCGCTGTCTTTGTAATCCAGGTATTTGACGGATGACTCTCGTGTTTTGCACCTACTAATAAATGTGCAGGTCTTCGAGCTAGGCACTTTGAAAAGATATCTCAGATTGTTGGTTTCGAACTTAAAGCCGAAGACACAATATCTTTCAGACAGTTGCTCAGATTAAATGTTGGTATCTGTGAGACTTAAACTGTAGTACGCTTATGACAATTTTCTTTTCAGATTGACGAGCATCTAACAAAGCTGGAGGAAATAAGTGAGCATGCAAGCAAAGAGTATTCGCTAGAAAGGGCATTGAACCAAATGGAGGCGGACTGGGCTCCTATAGCTTTCGAGGTACTTGAGCAGCACCATGTGTTATTGTAGCTCATCTTTTCCTTTTTCTTTTGTTTCCAATTTCGAGCAGTATGCTTTGTACAAGAACACAGGAACTCACATTTTGAAAGGTGGCCCCATAGAAGAAGCACAAATCCTTTTGGAGGAACATATAATCAAAACACAGAACATGTTCTCCTCTGCTTTCGCTCAATTTTTCTCAGAGCGGATAGGAATTTGGCTCAAAAAGGTTGTAGCTTCCGTTTGGGTAGACCTATACTGACGTGGTTGTTTTCATAGATCACATTGATGCAAGACGTTCTGCGGGAGTGGCTCAAAATGCAAGCGGCATGGATGTATCTGGAGCCAATTTTTGGATCACCTGATATTATCGAGCAAATGCCGAAAGAAGGAACTGCATTTCATGCAACGGATAAAGTGTGGAGAAGGATTGTAGCAGAAGTTATCAAAACAAAGTGCATGCTGGAGGTATGAGAACCGTTGGGCCAATGAACGTTAACATTAACTATTCTGCTCAGGCTGCCGATATCCCAAATCTTTTGGCTGATCTCAAAGAAGGAAACGCGCAACTTGAGATTGTCAACAAAGGTCTCAACCATTATCTAGAGACAAAACGTCTTGCATTTCCTCGGTTCTTTTTCCTTTCTAATGACGAACTTTTGGAAATATTGTCGGAGACAAAAGATCCGCTCAGAGTGCAGCCGTTTTTAAAGAAGTGTTTCGAGGGAATCAACCAGCTCGAGTTCCAGCCAAACTTGGATATAACTGCCATGCTGAGCGTGGAGTCGGAGAAAGTGCCATTCACTCGTACTCACAACCCAAAGTCCGCAGGAGGCAACGTGGAGAAGTGGCTCATAGAAGTCGAAGCGATGATGAAAGAATGCTTAAGGGTACAGTTCTCCTTTCGCCATGTCTTACGTCGTTTTAACACTTGCCCTTACAGGCCATTGTTGTGCAAGCCGCTGCCGATTATGCAGTTGAGCCTCGCGAGAGTTGGATTCTAAAGTGGCCCGGTATGATCGTTTTGTGTGGGTCGCAAATATACTGGACAGAGGAAGTAGCAAGTGCAATAATTGAAGGAGGAACTGCTGGGCTGCAAAAGTACGAGGATAAATGTACTGACCAGCTACAATCACTCGTAAAACTGGTAAGCTCTTTTTAGCTTTGGTCTTCACTGATTTGCCGCAGGTTCGAGGCGACATAAGCAATATGGAGAGGTTGACGATTGGGGCATTGGTTGTCATTGATGTTCATGCAAGGGACGTTGTCACTCTTCTGAAGGAAAAGCAAGTCTCCAGTGAAACAGATTTTGAATGGCTCAGCCAATTGAGGTACTACCTTGAAGAAAACGAGGTACGGAGAAGTTCTGGTTGTGGTTTGATAAGTTACGAATGACAATATCGCAGGTAATTGTAAAAATGGTTAATGCTGCACGGAATTACGGGTACGAGTATCTGGGAAACAGCAGTCGTCTGGTTATTACACCCCTTACTGATCGTTGTTATCGGACACTGATGGGAGCTTTGCATCTTAATCTTGGAGGAGCTCCCGAAGGTCCTGCTGGTACCGGGAAAACAGAAACAACAAAAGATCTTGCAAAGGTACACTTTTTATAACGTTTTTGCAACAACAATCATGCCTTTTTTGTGCAGGCCCTTGCGATGCAATGCGTTGTTTTCAACTGTTCAGATGGTCTAGACTACCTTGCAATGGGGAAGTTTTTCAAAGGTCTCGCTGCCTCTGGTGCCTGGGCATGCTTTGATGAGTTTAATCGTATTGATCTGGAAGTGCTTTCCGTCATTGCTCAGCAAATTCTTACCATTCAACGAGCCATTATGGCTGGTGTCAAGCGATTTATGTTCGAGGGAACAGATCTTCCTCTTATTCCCACTTGCACATCGTTCATCACCATGAATCCAGGTTATGCCGGACGGTCAGAGCTGCCAGACAATTTGAAGGCTTTGTTCCGGCCGGTGGCAATGATGGTTCCAAATTATGCGATGATTGGGTAACTACACAACTCTTTATGAAACTTTTGGTTTTACTCATATCATCGGTTTGTAGGGAGATTATTTTGTATTCTTTTGGGTATGGACTTGCTCGAGATATGGCGCGTAAGCTAGTGGCAACTTACAGACTTTGCAGCGAGCAGTTGTCTTCTCAGGTAAGGAGTTTATAGACGTAGTTGCAATTTCGTAATCATGTACTCACAGGATCACTATGATTATGGTATGCGTGCGGTGATAGCCGTGCTCAGAGCTGCGGGTAACTTGAAAAGAAAGTACAGAGATGCGGACGAGTCCGTGCTCGTTCTTCGAGCTATTCGAGATGTCAACCTTCCCAAATTTTTGTCTCATGATATACCTTTGTTTGAAGGAATCATGGCTGATCTGTTTCCCGGCGTGGTACGTGGTTATTGTTTTATTTCGCTGTTTTGTATTGTTTTGTTTGTTCTTTGTTTGACAGGTCCTTCCGAAGCCGGATTATGATGCCATTCTCTTGGCCTTGAACAACAATTGCGTCAAGATGAATTTGATACCCATCGAACCATTCATACGAAAAATCTTAGAACTCTACGAGATGATTATTGTGAGGCACGGGTTGATGATTGTTGGATATTCGTTTGGAGCAAAAACCTGCATGTACAAGGTTCTTGCGGATGCTTTGACGGAAATGAATCAGCAAAACCTGGAGCAAGTAACATGGTATGTTATTTTTTTACTTACATTTTGTTGAATGGCTAAAGCAGCCTGTCCATTAGTATGCAGGTATAATATTCTAAATCCGAAGTCCATCACGATGGGACAACTATATGGTCAGTTTGACCCCGTTTCGCATGAGTGGACAGACGGGGTTCTTGCAACTACTTTTCGAAACCAGTCGGCTGACACTACTCCAAATCGAAAGTGGCTTATTTTCGATGGGCCTGTAGATGCAATCTGGATCGAGAACATGAATACGGTAACGTAATGGTCCTACTTACAGAAAGTTCTCACTATCTTTTTCTGCAGGTGTTAGATGATAACAAGAAGCTTTGTCTTATGAGCGGAGAGATTATCCAGATGTCTGGCACGATGAACTTAATTTTTGAAGTCCAGGACTTGGCGGCGGCCTCACCTGCAACTGTCTCTAGATGCGGAATGGTTTATGTAGAACCTTCGGCGATTGGATGGAGGCCGATTGTTACATCTTGGCTCACAGCTTTGCCAGAGGTTTTACAAGGGCGCTACAGTGACCAGATTTCAAAATTGTGCGACTGGCTGCTACCGCCCTGCTTACGTTGCGTACAAAAAAATTGCAAGCTGACGATTGCAATGCAGGTATGAAATCTTGTTGTTTTGTTTCTGTTAACATTGTCGAATGCAGGAGCAAAACATGGTGCAGAGCATGCTGCGCATTATCTGGTCCCTCATGGATCCGCAATTGACGGACAGTAAGTAAAGCCTCCTTTTTGTTCATAATGTCGTGATGCTCCTGTTTGCTGTGCAGAGGTTCAATCTGAGAAAATGGATGGCAACTTGAAGGCTACCTGGGTGGACAGCATATTTTTGTTTGCACTGGTTTGGGCGGTTGGTGCTTGCACGGATCACGCAGATCGCCCCAAGTTCGATGTGCTTCTGCGCAAGCTTATTGTAAGTCATAAAAGCTGAAATGTTATCAGTTTCTTATTCATTCAATAAACAGGCCAACCAACCACCTGAGGATTACAAGCAGTACATAGTTGCCGCGGCAAGAAAAGTGGCCCAGAATTTTCCAGATGGTAAACTAGTCTACGATTTTGTTTTCAACAAAGATAGAGCAAAATGGGTTCCGTGGACCGATCTCGTCGACGAGACGCCTCCAAGTCCCGAGGCCGACTTTGCAAGGATAATAGTTTCGACCGCGGATACGGTGAAATATTTGTTTTTGGTAAACGAGCTGGTGATGCATACCTTCCCTTTGCTGCTTGTTGGCCCGACGGGCACCGGAAAGAGCCAATACGTCAAGCAGTACCTGATGAAGCTGGATACGTCGAAGTAAGTTCTGCGATTCCATTTCTTTTGTCATTGACGTTTCGTTGAACAGGTTTCAGTCCATGTTTTTCAACTTCTCTGCGCAAACAAGTGCTAACCAGACGCAGGATATCATTGACTCGAAGCTCGTCAAAAGGAAACAAGGAATCTTTGGGCCGCAGAAAGGAAAGCAGTGCATAATTCTTGTGGACGACCTTAGTATGCCTGCTCTTGAGAAATACGGCGCTCAGCCACCTATTGAACTGCTGAGGCAATGGATGGATCACAAAGGATGGTAAGTTTTTACGCTTATATTGCTCTTGCTTGTCTGACTTAACTGTGATCTTGCTTTTCAGGTACGACCGAAATGATCTGTCATTCAAAAACATCATAGATACTCAGTTTATATCTGCAATGGCTCCTCCTGGAGGAGGACGAAACGCAGTCACAAATCGCTATTTACGTCATTTTAACGTTATATGTGTTACTCCATTTTCAGACGCCACATTGAGCAGGTATACGGGATCTCCTCTTTGTGACAATTAGCAAACAAAGTCTTTTGCAGGATATTTTCTTCTTTGGTTGATTTCTGGATGAAGAGGTCCAGATATCCACCACAAGTGGTTAAACTTAGGCCTCCTATGATTGCTGCGACAATTGATATCTATCAGACTGTTCAGCGTGAGCTTCTCCCCACTCCGGAGAAGTCTCACTATACATATAATCTGCGTGATCTTTCCAAGGTACGATTTTTATTTTGTGGTATATATCTCATTTTTTGTAGTGCAGGTGTTTCTGGGCCTGCAATTTGCGCCAGCCGAGACCGACAATGTGTACAAGATCATGCGACTATGGGCTAATGAATGCCTTAGGATTTTTTACGACCGCCTTATCAACGATAAGGACAGAGATTGGTTTTGCGAACTTCTGGCGGAAATGTTTGAGAAGCACTACAAAGAACGTTATGGAAAAGTCTTTGCAAGCTTTACTCATTCCGAAATCAAGAAAGGGGATAGCAGTCCTGGAAACATGAAGTATTTTATGGCAGGAGATTTCATGGTTCCCGGGGCAGATCCTGCGCAAGTAAGTTTGGGTATAGTTTTTGTTAAACTTGCGTCCGATTTGAAAATTACAGTACGACGAAATCACTGACGAGGAGGGGCTTATGCGTGTTATGCAAGCATACTTGGAGGATTATAACCAAGTTAATACGAAGCAAATGAATCTAGTACTTTTTCAGTTTGCTATTCAACATATATCGCGTATCTGCCGCGTGATTAAGCAGCCGGGAGGAAATGCATTGCTTGTAGGTGTTGGTGGTAGTGGGAGACAAAGTTTTGCAAGACTAGCTGCGTTTATTGAAGGCTTTGATATATTTCAGGTACTCCCGCTTTCTCGTGTGATCTGCTTTTTATGTTTAAACGCAGGTTGAAATAGCGAAAAATTATGGCATGTCCGAATGGAGGGAGGATTTAGGAAAAATGTTGCGGAAAGCTGGAGAAGCGGACAAGCGCGTCATGTTCCTTTTCGTTGATACACAAATTAAAATGGAAGGATTTGTAGAAGATATAAATTCACTGCTTAACACGGGAGAGGTAAGCGTCATTTGACAATATCCGCTATTTTACTGAAGCCTAGAGAGTTCTACAGGTTCCAAATCTTTATGACTCCGCAGACTTAAGTTCCATCTGTGAGGCAGTTCGACCTCGAGCAAAACGCGCAAAAAGGGATGGATCGCGTGCAGAGCTATACGCATTCTTTGTAGACGAGTGCTCTAAGAACATGCGAATTGCTTTGGTACATAAAATCTGGTGTTTCATCGAGGAAATAACATAGTTGTCTGCAGGCTTTTAGTCCAATTGGTGGAGCTTTCAGAGATCGATTACGGAAGTTCCCATCTTTAGTGAACTGTTGCACGATTGATTGGTTTAGCGGTTGGCCAACAGAAGTAAGTTTTGCACAGGATCTACCAATTTACTTAAGTGTCGGTCTTCCAGGCATTACGTTCAGTTGCAGCTAGATTTCTGGACGACGTAAATGTGGATGATAAGCTTATTCCGGGGCTCGTAGACATGACAGTGCACTTCCATATTTCTGTACAGGTATTTTACTATTTGAAAATATGTCTCTTTTTTTATAAATTCTTCTTCACTCAGGACCTCTCACTTCAATATTTTACTGTAATGCGTCGGTACTCATATGTTACACCAACAAGTTTCCTTGAGCTGATCAACTTGTTTAAGTCATTGCTAATGAAAAAGCAGGCAGAAGTCAGCGGGTTTAAGAAAAGGTACATGTATATGTTAGTTAGAAGATTCTGACATTGCGAATGGCAGATATGAAATGGGACTGCAAAAGCTAGAGAGTTCAGCAAACGACGTGAACACGATGCAGAAAGAGTTGGAGGAACTCCAGCCTAAGCTAGTGCAATCTACTGCTGAAGTTACTGAGTTGCTTCAGGTTCCTCCTCCTATCTTTTAGCTCCGAGATTTTACATTGATGGATCGCGTTTCAATAGGTCATTGATACAGAAACAACTGAGGCAAATAAAGTCAGGGAAGTTGTGTTAGTGGAAGAAGCTGCAGCAAGCATAAAAGCCGCTGAAGCGAAAGCAATTAAGGATGACACAGAGGCTGAACTAGCAGCCGCAATGCCCATGTTAGAAGCTGCTCTCAAGGTACGTTTCCCTGTTGTTAATGCTTACAAACTTAAGCTAATTATCACAGGCGCTCGACACTTTGAGTAAAAACGACATATCAGAGCTGAAAGGAATGAAAAGTCCACCTGCGGGAGTAAAGCTTGTCATGGAAGCAGTCTGTATCATGAAAAGCATAAAACCAACTCGCATGAAAGACCCAGGAGGGTCAGGAAAGGTGAAGTATGCACCGGAGATCTTCATCTTTTTCATATCGAAAGTTGCAGATGGTTGAGGACTACTGGGAAAGTAGCAAAAAGATGTTGGCGGATGCTGATTTTCTAAAGAGCTTGAGAGAATATGACAAGGACAACATTTCCGTCGAAATCATCGCGAAAATTCGACCGTAAGCTTATTGTGAAGATTAGTACCGTTGGCTGATAACTTTGGAAAAATGCAGTTACATCGCAAATCCTAACATGGAGCCAACTAAAGTTGCTGTGATTTCAAAAGCTGCATTCGGGCTTTGTTCCTGGATCATTGCAATGGAGGCTTATGATCGCGTAGCAAAAGTGGTGGCACCTAAACAAGCAGCACTTAAAATTGCTGAAGCTGAATACGAGGAAGTCATGTCTGCGTTACGCGTGAAGCAGGCGTCTTTGCGAAAGGTGCTTTTGCAAGTTCTTATATACTTGTCGTCTGAAATAACTACTGCAGGTCGAGTTAAGGCTGGCAGAATTAGATGCGCAGCTAAATGGTGCACAGTTTAAGAAGAAAACGGTTGAAGATGAAGCGAGTCTGTGCGCCACAAAAATTACCCGTGCAAACCAGCTCATGTCTGGTCTCGGGGGTGAGAAAACTCGCTGGACAGCCCAGGCTCAAATGTTTGGAGAAACGTACATCAAATTGACCGGGGACATTCTATTGTCGGCTGGGATGATAGCTTATCTCGGTGTGTTTACTCCGACGTTTAGAGATCAAGCAGTTGCGGTAAGTTAGAATCGGAGCTAAGAATCGAAATAATAGCATGGGAAATGTTTGTGCAGGACTGGCTAGCTGTTTGCAAGGGGAAAAAGATCCCATGCTCTACTGATTTTGTTCTCAGCAATATCCTTGCCGATCCTGTAGAGATACGAGCGTGGAACATCTGTGGTCTACCAAAAGACCAGTGCTCGATTGACAACGGCACAATCATCAAAACTGCTCGTAGATGGGGCTTGATGATTGATCCTCAGGTATGATATTTTTTTGTGCGTGGTTAACCAACCTTATGTGGTACTCTAGGGTCAAGCTAACAAGTGGATAAAAAATCTTGAAGCAAGCAATGCCCTCATAATCACAAAACTCAGTGACAATGACTTCTTGCGAAAGCTTGAAGTTGGAATTCAGGTTGCTCCTTCCTCACTTTAAAGTTTCTCTCGTTGAACTGGGCACTTTACAGTTTGGAAAGCCTGTCTTAGTTGAAAACGTTGGCGAAGAACTTGATCCAGCTATTGAACCTATTCTATTGCAGCTAACATTTAAACAGAGTGGCACTCTGTGTATAAAACTAGGAGATAACACGCTGGAGTATTCCTCAAAGTTCCGTCTCTATCTCACAACAAAACTTCGGAACCCTCACTACAGTCCCGAAACTTCCGCAAAGGTGGTCTCTCCTTGCATTATTCTTATTTTGTTTTAACGATTCTCTTCAGGTCACACTACTCAACTTTATGATTACCTCGGAAGGCTTGTTCGATCAGCTTCTTGGAATAGCTGTTGCGAAGGAGCGGCCTGACTTAGAGGAAGAAAAAAATCAGCTGATTCTTCAGAGTGCGAGCAATAAGAAGCAGCTTAAGGAAATTGAAGATAAAACGCTGGAGGTTCTGTCGCAAGAAGGAAACATTCTTGAAGATGAAACTGGAATACAGGTAAGCTTTTTCAAACTATATCATGTCTAAACAATACGTTACCCAGGTTCTTTCACAATCCAAAATTTTGTCTGAGGATATTTCCGCCAAGCAAAAGATTGCCGAAGAAACTGAGGTCAAAATTGACAATGCACGTAGCGGATACAAACCGGTGGCAAAAGTAACAGCGATCTTGTTTTTTTGTGTTTCAGGTGAGAACGTCTCATTCAAAATGAATCGGTTCTAATGACTTGTTCTGTTACAGACATGGCCAATATTGAGCCGATGTACCAATATTCGCTACCATGGTTCATAGATTTGTTCGAGTTTTCCATTATGAACAGTGAGAAATCTCCCGATCTCGGAGCACGGCTCAGGATTTTAAACGATCACTTTCTGTACACCCTCTACTGCAATGTTTGCCGTTCTTTGTTTGAGAAGGACAAACTTCTGTTCGTCTTTTTAATGACAGTGAAGCTTTTCTCTGCTGAAGGAAAGCTGAGTCTTGACGAGGTAACTCTATTTAATTTTGTTTTGATAACGGCTAACAATGCTTCGTTCTCACTTTCAGCTAAGGTTTTTCATGACGGGAGGCATTGCTCTTGATAAACAGCCAGCTAAGCCTGCGGGTGAAGCCACTGCATGGCTTAGCGACAAGGCGTGGGGCGAACTTTATCGGCTTTCACAGGTACATTTTTCTTTTTTGCTGAAGACTATCCTTAAATCTTTGAGAGTCATTCATATTACAGAAAGAAGCCTTTAGCGGTTTGGATGCAGACATCATTCAGCAAGCAGACAAGTGGCGCGTCATTTTTGATAGTCCTGAACCACATGTACGTTGTCTTGCTGGTTGGACAAACAGCTTATTGTTTTTTTTAATATATATCAGATGGAACCACTTCCTTTGCCCTGGAATATTGAGCTCGACTCATTCCAAAAGATGGTAGTGTTGCGGTGCATTCGGCCTGACAAGGTATATTTGATAAACTTGCTGCTTTTTACTTCATTGCATTCGTCCCGGCTTCCTTCCAGCTTGTGTTAGCTACGGCGAATTATGTCGCTGAATCTTTGGGATCAAAGTTTATCGAACCACTGCCTCTCAACCTTGAAAGCTGCTACAAAGACGCTTCAGCTACGACGCCACTCGTCTTTGTTTTATCGCCCGGCTCAGATCCAATGTCGATGCTTCTCAAGCTTGCAGCGGATAAAGAGGCTAAGTTAGAGACAGTCTCGCTTGGACAGGGACAGGGCCCAGTAGCTATTGCCATTCTCAACGTCGCAGCAAAGGAAGGCTCTTGGGTGGCGCTCCAGAACTGTCATCTGGCTGTTTCCTGGATGGCCACGCTGGAGAAGTACTGGGAGAACGAGCTTACAAAAGAGAAAACACACAAAGATTTCAGGCTCTGGCTGACAAGCTATCCTTCGGACGCGTTTCCAGTAGCAATCCTTCAGAATGCGGTGAAGATGACCAACGAGCCTCCGAATGGTCTCAAAGCCAACTTGACCGGCAGCTACTTCATGTATCCGATATCAGATATTGACTTCTTCAGCAATTGTTCGAAAGGTCCCGAGTGGCGAAGAATGCTCTATGGACTTTGTTTCTTCCATGCTTTTGTTCAGGTGTGCATTTATCGTGATGATATATTCGCTCTTGAACTTTAGATGTTCTATGATGTTAGGAACGGAGAAAGTTTGGACCCTTGGGTTGGAACATCCCATACGAGTACAACGAATCAGATTTGCGAATTAGCGTACGACAGTTGAAGATGTTCATCGAAGAGTATCCCGACAGGGTGAGTTTTCCGTTCTCTGCAACGTGAAACAGTGACATATTCATTCTGACATGACTTGTGCAGATTCCTTACAAGGCTCTCAACTACTTGACTGGAGAGTGTAATTATGGTGGTCGAGTTACTGATGATCACGACCGAAGAACACTCATCACAATACTGGAAGGAATTTATTGTGATGCTGTTCATGACGATAACTATTCTTTCTCTGAAAGTGGTCTTTTTCGTGCTCCTCCTGATGGTAAGCTTTGCGAAAGGTGCAACTGTTTATGATCAAAACTTTCACCTTTCGCAGGCACCTACGAAAACTTTTTGGAGTTCATTAAGAGACTTCCGAATCAGCCTCGCCCCGAGGTTTTTGGTTTTCACGACAACGCTACCATAAGCAAGGACTTGAACGAAACGGCCCGGCTTCTTGATTCCCTGCTTTTAGTATCACCAGCAGCCTCAGAAGGCGGGTCATCCAAGAAAGGTGGAGCACCAGCAATGTCTCCGGATGATGTTATGCTGGGAATATCGTCGGATATCCTGGGAAAGCTTCCTGGAAACTTTGACATCGAAGCTGTCCAGAACAAATACCCCGTTGTCTACCTCGAGTCCATGAACACGGTGCTATGCCAGGTACTTATATGATTCTCTCTTTCTCTCGCTCACTCTACTTCCCAAATTGCAGGAGCTTGAAAGATTTAACAAGCTGCTTAGTATAATTCGGTCCAGCCTTCTCGAGCTTCAGAAGGCCGTGAAAGGATTGATTGTCATGAGTGCGGAACTAGACCAACTTGGGAGGAGCCTTTTGGATGGTAAGATACCGGCAATGTGGGCTGCCAAGTCATATCCGTCGAGAAAGCCGCTTGCAAGCTACGTCTCGGACTTGCTGGAGCGAGTAGCGTTCTTCCACGACTGGGTTGTCAATGGACCTCCCAGCGTCTACTGGCTATCTGGTTTCTTCTTCACACAGTCGTTTCTTACCGGAGCCAAGCAAAACTTTGCTCGTTCTGCCAAGGTTCCCATTGATATGATCGACTTTGAGTTTCAAGTTATGGAGGATCCGGTAAGCTGAGCTCATTTTGCTGGATCTACTAATGAAGCTATGTTACTTTGCAAACAGGCTGCTTGTACAGTAAAGCCAGAGATTGGCGTGTACGTTCGTGGTCTGTTCTTGGAAGGAGCTAGATGGGATTACAACACACATTATCTGGGCGAATCGGAGCCAAAAGTTCTCTACTCGGCATGTCCAATCCTCTGGCTGGTTCCGACGGAGCTCTCAAAATTCGGCAACTATCCGCACTACTTGTCTCCGTTGTACAAAACCAGTGATCGAAGGGGTATCCTTTCCACGACCGGCCACTCGACAAACTTCGTCATGGAAGTGAAGCTCCCGTCCAACATGCCGCAGGCTCACTGGGTGAAGCGAGGAGTCGCTCTTCTTTCACAACTAGATGACTAAACAACACATCAAAGAAGGTGATACTTTCAAAGCTTTGGTTACAACTTAACTTTTGAGTTTTCTTCATGGACTACCAGGTGGAAAGAAAATGGAGCACCCCGGGTAGCAGTTCTCGCAGCGAGAGAGGTAGAGTGGATCCCGGCACTTGTATCCCAGAGCTGGCAAGCAGCTCTCGGGACAGGACGTGAATCTGGAGCTCCGGCAGGCGTTTGTCCCGTTGAGAAAGATGAGCGCGCAGGACGTCCCCTGGAGTCGACAGCAGTTCGTGCAGCTCTTGGAGAGGTAGCCGTGGTCGCACTCCAAGATGGTGTTGGGCATGCACTCGTCAGGGCAAGAGCCATCAACTGAAAGGCCAAAGTCACGGCGCCATGAACAAGAGAGGAGATCACAGAGACTTACACTCAAATGGAGGCAGGAATGGGGCAACTCCTGGGAAAAAAAGCAGATTTTTCAAGTTCAACATCAGATCTTGAGAGGTTTTCTATTAAACCTGTGATCAAGACGAAGAGCAGCAGCAGGATCGCTGGAAACTTTGGCAGCTCCATCGCAGCTCTCTCTCGAGACGACGAAGAAGAAGAAACTTAAAGAGACAACCAAGGAGGAAGGACCGTGTACATATTGGAGGGGACACGAAAGTTCTATGATCGGTGAAACAAAACGCATATCGTGGTTTTTAATCTGGAATAGCCAACGAACAATGTACCTGGGAATTGTTACAAAGGAAGCTGTTTGCTCGACGCTCTTTTGACGCTTTCGAGCCTTTTTTTCGTCCTTCCTCTTTTTCGTTTTTTTTTTTTCAATCCGAGCTGCGAGATGAGAGACTCAAGATTGCGTGGAACATCCTCCGGCGAGAGCCCACGGCGTGGATTCCCATCTCTCGCAAGTCCTCCATGGTGAGCAGTGGAAGAGCCTCCTCGTCCACTTCATGGAGCTCAAACACGTCCATATACTTGGCCAGCCTTCGTTCCTCGAGCCACTTCCTTACGAGCTCCGGCAAAACGAAGCTCTCTTCCTGGTTGAGCTCGCCACTTTTACTCGTGGTTTGCTGCGTCCTAGTCTCTGGAACTTCTTCTTCGCGTTCTTCTTCTCGGTTTACTTGGCGAGATTGGTTCTCTTCCCGCACTCCGCTGGCTGGGAAGTTCTCACCATCGCCACCATCACCTTCTTCCAGCAATCGCTCCTCCGGATCGATGGCTTCTACCAAAGCATCGCTTTCGTTTGCCTGATCAAACAGACCTTGAGAGGCATTCTTCTCTTCCACCTCGAGCTCTTCTTCGTCCTGCGGAAGCTCTTCCTCTTCTTCTACTGCTTCCTCCCTCGCTTCCTCCATCTCTCCTTCCTTGCTCTCTCGAGCCTCCACCTCGGCGGCCATCTCCTCGTTCTCTTTAGCCAGCGACGAGCTCTTCGAGCCATCCTCCTCACCAGCCGCCACAACTTTCCTGGCTCCCCAGTTCTTGACAGTGAAAGACGAAGAAGAGGAGGATTTCTTCCTCCCTTTCTTCCCACCGCTACCACCATTCCCTAGCCGCCGCCTCTTCTTCTTCTTCTTCTTCTCCTCGCCTCTCTTCCTCTCCTCGCCGCCGCCACCTTTCTCTTCCTCGTCCTCGCCATTCTCGGCGGCTTGATCGTGCTCCTCCACCTCGGCCGCCTGCTCGATCATCTCCGCCTCGTTCCCATTCTCACCGCTCTTCCTCTCCTCAGCATCGTGGACGAGCTCCAAAGCCTTGGTTTTCGATGGCGGCGACTCCAGCGCCTCCTGGAGATGGAAACCCGTCATGTCCACCGCGGTTGGATCATCCTCCACCTCCTCTTCCACCACATCCGGCAGCAAAGAGGGACAAACCTGGGCCGCCGCCGCCGCGCGCTTCTTCCTCCTCTTGAAAGAAGGCCGATTCTCGAGAAACAGCGCTAGGGGAACGTCGCCAATCTCGCCCAAGCGCACACTCGGCCTTCGCTGCCTCTTGGAATTCCTAGGAGCCGAGAAAGAAGAATCCAATCCATTCTCCTCCTGCTGCTGCGGCTGCTGTTCCATGATCATACCTTCCATGACCGCTCCATCAAAATGCGGCCTTGGAGCTCAAAAACCCTTTCCTTGTCCCTGGAGAGAGAGAACCCTATTTTCTCGAATAGAATCATTTTACTGCTCAAGTTAAAGTCAAATGCAAGAACCCTAATTTTTTAACTTTTTCATTAGGGCTTAGGTTTTATCGCTTAATTAAAGTCAATACTAAACCTTCTCTATATTTAGAGATCCAACTTAGGGTTTCTATATTTGGAGAGGGCCGCGCGTACGCGAGCCCTCAACTTCCACAAATTATGACGTCCATTCCTCCACTTTGGGAAGATGGTAGGTCGGCCAAGCCAAAGTGCAATGGGAAAGCCAAACCTAGGCCATTGGCCTTAATGATCACCAATAGACCCCGTCCAGGTAAGTATGTTTCACCTCCTCTAACCCTAGTTTATATACCACTTTTGGTGGCTTCATTCCATACCACGGCATGTGGGATAGGTCAGGAGTACACGTGTATTGACACGTGGATGTGGGTTTTGGTTAACCTTGCTTAGTTTAGCTCTTAATCTTTTTATCATGAACACTTTCTCTTGAAGTTCTTCCGGATCAATCGAACTTCCATTTTATCCTTGGCCATATTTTCTTACTCCGTGAACTCGCAAACTTGTCATGGATGAACATATCATTCCAGATTCGCGAGCTTCACGCTTCCAGCCGAGGCTTTGTTTGCGGCTCGGTTGCTCCCAAAGTCGCGCCTGTTGGACTTTTTGGCAATGCCACTGCCAAACTGCATGGAAGTTGAATGAAAGCTTGAGCAAATCTCCAGAGAGAAAGAAAAAAAACGAGAAGTGGATTCTAAACCTGTATTGCACGCTTTGCAAGACTGGCGCTTTGAGAAAGTCCTAGTGACCTCGCAACCTGGGAAAAGCAACAAGTGAGGCTGGAAAAATTACGTTTTTCCTCCGAACCTGTCTCAGGATTTTCTTGTCGCCGATGCCGAGATCTTGTCTGAGATCCACAACTTCTTCCAGAGGGATGTCTAGGAACGTTTGGATCACATCCTCGTCTAGAAATGGGAACCGAGCCTGTAAGAATGACTAGATTATCTCTTTGAGCTTTTGAAAAGCTAGCGAACCTCCTTTCCATGATCTCCAATGCAGCGATCGTCTCGTCCCAGGTTTCGTTTCCACAGCCTCTGCATGTCCAGCCTCATCTCCGCTGCCAGCGCTTCCCATCTTGCAAGACAAAGAAGAAAACTTTCAGCTATGGATGGAAAACGAGACAATCACTCACCCTCCAAGCTTGAATTTCGTGCGGTACCGCAAGTAGCCACCACATTGCTCGTCCGCTCCTGCTCCAACAAGCACGACTTTCGCTGCTGACTTGTAAGAAATGCGGACTTTGTTGTGATCTTCCACGGCTCCTTCTCCTCTGGCAGCAGACCAAAGAGCTGTTCCGATGTTTAGATCCTGCCAAGTTAAAGAAGTCGTCCAAGAGCGAAAAGAAAAATCGAAACTGGAGGTCTCTTTTTACGTACCATGTACGTTTCTGAAGGACATATCAGAGAAAAAATTGTACTCTCGTTTGTGCCTATGTCTTCATCGACTTGAACAAGTCTCCACCTGCAACGCAATGCCGTGATTACTAGAAATCCAAAGAAGAAACTTACTTGCGTGAGGGCGAAATCCTTCGAAGTTCGTCAATGCCAGCGATCGCAGAAACTCTATCCGGTGCCGATGGACCATCAAAGCTAACATTTAGAAGGTCAATGGTATCTGTAAGGAAAAAAAGTGAGCCTTTCCATAATTGTGAAGATAAAAACAACATACAAGCAGGATCCAGGCACTGATCAGTAAGCGCAGCCAAAATCATCGAATCGATCCCTCCGGAAAAGAGGACTGCCACAGGAGTCTCCACATCTTCTGGCCTGCTCTTTAACATGAATCGGAGTAAGAACCAAGCTCCGGAAAGAAAAACCAAGAGAAGAACTATACCTCTTTTAAGTTCATTCTGCTGTTAACGAGACGCCTCTCCACAGATTCCTTCAATACAGTCAGAGCGAGTTCGACAGCTGCCGAAGAAGAAAAAGAAGATGGTGATGAGTGAGCTCGGTCCCAAAGCATCAGCTTGTTTAGAAGTGGATCCTCCCATCTGTGAGTTCGTATCTCTCCCTTGCAAGTGAGAACTTCGCCATTGCTAAGTTGTAGACTGTGAATCCCACAGGGAAGTTCCTTCCAGAAAGCAAAAGGATCGTAGAACAGCTTCTCGTTGTCACAGGGAGCTACGGAGGATAGAAGAAACCGTGGATCGTCCACCGAAGGCCAATGCACGAGAAGACTTCTCCTTCCAAAGACATCACGTCCAAACCATATTGTCCGAGTGGAGGCCTATGATCACATCCAAGATAAAAACAACGTTTCCAGATTCAACTTTGAAGGCTAACTACGTACCTGGAAGTAGATTACGGCCCAGGGACCTCTTACTTGAGACAACGCTTGACAAACTCCAAAGCTCGAATCGCATCTTCCAAGCCTCTCCAGCAAAACTTCGGTGTCGTTTTGACTTGGAAGAACTTCCAAGCCTCCAAACACTTCACCTACAAGATTTCACGAAAGAGATGTAAGATTTTCTCTCAAAGGAAAGAGAAACACATGAGAACTCACCATTGTAGACGAGGATGTTTCCATCGCTGTCCCGTAGAGGCTGACAAACTCGATGAGATCCCCTAAGTTGCAAAGTGGTGCCAGCAAATTCCAAGGTAGCAAAAGCTTCCTGTGGAACGTAGATCTTTCCATCCTGCTCATCGACTCTTTCGTCCTGGATTTTGGAGCCAGTTTGATGCTGCCAATCATCACCACAGTCCCCAGCTTCCCAAAACTCGCTAGAAATCTGTAAATCCCTCTCCAGCTGCTCGATCTTTCCTGTGCCAAGCCGGACAGTTCTCACGCCAAAACTATCGGGCCCTCGCCTTCGCAATGCGGCGAGTAAATCCTCCAGACAAGGCGTCTCCTGAGAGAAAAACATCAAGATACCATCACAGTCAGCGCTTAGATACCTTTGATCGAGAAGCCGAGATCCCCCAGCTAAATTCCACTCCAGTGACAATCAGTCCAATGCCACACATGGCTAGAACCCTAATTTCAAGTATTTAAATTTTTTCTTCAAAATATTAATTTTCATTTGAGAGCAATAATTTGGGTTTTTTAATAGTAATGTTATTCTTATTTATTAATCTTATTAATCTTATTAATCTAATTAATCAAATGGAAGTTTATAATTTATAAACACAAGATTAATATTATTAATATCAACCATAGAATGCTTATAAATAATAAATACAAATGAATATAGATGGTAGAATATTCAAATATATTCTTGGTATATTACCACAAATTTCAATATTTTAATTGTTTATTTATATATTAAGATTTAGGAAAAAATTATATAAACATTCAAATGAATATTAATATCCAATACTCAAGCGCAGATCAGTGCCTTTAGAGCAAGAACATTGGAGAGACCAATATGAAACTTTGCTATGAGTTCCTCGTCCGAGATCTTCACACTTGCCACCAGTGAAAGAATTTCAGTGTCTCGCTCTTCCATCTTCTCCTTGAGCTGTGCTATAGCATTTGTGATATCAATCCTGAGCCTTGCAACAGTAGCGCCCAAGTTATCTTTATCCGCCAACCATTTCTCCAATGACTTCAATGTTAATGCCCTCTCGAGCTTGGCCATCCTTTGGGCCATATCATCCAATGCTTCGTCAATCTCCATTTTAGTATCTGCTATGGCGTCTACCAAGTTCATTTTGGCATCACTCAAGCTATACTTGATCTGGTCCTTCTCTGTGCGTAGGGATTGCTCTATGGCCGCCAACCTTCCCTCCAGGTTCAAGTCTTTTGCCATTAGTGATTCCTCCATGGCCGTCATTTTATCCTCTAGAGGCCTGAGGCTTCGTAGGATCTCCCTTTGGTGTCTTTGCAGCTTGCCCGTCATGAAATCATCGAGATGCTTCACGCTTTCCCACACCAAATCTTCCTTGAAGCTCTCGAGCTGGGATTCCACGAAGCGAGCAAACTGTGTTCCAAAGAATTCCATGGCCGAAGTCAAACCTAAAACCAAGCGCTATGAAAAGCTTGCGCCCAGAAAAGACGTACCTGATTCCATGCAGCTTTTGAAGTTGGTGGCCCTAAAATTGGAGATTTTTAAACTCGAGCTTTGGCGCCCATCACAGCCGTCCACGTCACCTCGTCCGGGTAGCAAGGCATCGCATCCACCGTCGAGACGGCATCTTCCACGCGATCCGCGCGGGCCAGCAGATCCACCATACACGTGTAGTGCTGGACGGTCGGATGCACGCCAAACTTGGGCGCCATGGATTCCAAGCACTTCCTTCCCTCCTCGACCAGCCCACAGTGGCTACACATCGTGAGCACCGACACAAACGTGATCGCGCTCGGTCTCACCCCCTCCTCGCGCATCCTCCCAAACGCCTCCGTCGCCTTCCCGGAATCGCCCAATCGCCCATAGCCCGCGATCAAGCAATTCCACGCCACAACATCCCTCCAATCCGCGATCGAATCAAACACCCGCTGCGCGCAATCCATCGCACCACACTTTGCATAGAAATCCAGCAGCGAATTCGCCAAGATCGGGCACTTCGCAGCCTCCTCTCTCCTGTGAATCTCGCCATGGACGCTCCTCCCGGCCTCCCGGGCCACTGCCTGGCCACACGCCACCAGTACGGCGACCATGGCCCAAGTATCGGGTTGCGTACGGCACCGCATTCGAGCAAACGTCTCGAGCGCCATCTCGGGCTGCCCGTTGTCCGAGTAGCCGAGCATGAGGACCGTCCACGCCGCCACGTCCGGGCGATCGATCGCCTCAAACGCTTCGCAAGCTTCGATCATGCTGCCACACTTGGAGTAGAAGGCGATGAGCGCGTTGGCAGCGAAGCCATCGTTCTCCAGCTCCACGCCGGAGCTTCGAGCTCGAGAGTGGAGAGCTCGGCCTCTCTCCAGCGAGACTACTTTCACGGCATTGCCATCGATCGTTTCTCCAGTTTCCGTGGATGCCAGAGCTGAGAGTGCGGAGAGCGCAGCCACGAAAGCGCGAGCATCCGGCTCGCAGCTCTTCTCGGCGACCATCTTCTCAAACAGCTCCAAAGCCACCTCCGGCTGGCCGTTGTCCGCATAGCCGGATATCAAGCTCGTCCATGACACCGAGCTCTTGGCGGCCATCCTGTCGAAGACTTTCCTCGAGTCTGCCATGTTCCCACACTTTGCGTACATGTCGATCAGCCTGTTGCTCACGAAGATGTCCGAGGAGACGCCAATTTTCACGGCCTGGGAGTGTATCGCCATGCCTTTCTCCAGGCTCTTCACCTTGAGCCCGGCTTCTT